CTTGGCTTTGTCCGGCGCAACCCTCTGCGGAGATCGTGCGTGTCGAGTGCGGGCGAGAGTGCTAGTACAACTGTAGTACGCGGAGTAGCTGGGGAGCTGGAACATGAGAACTGGCAACTTTGTAGTAAACCTTTAGTACGCAGAGTATCTGGGGAGCTGGAAGATGAGAACTGGGGACTTGGTAGTACAACTTTAGTATGCGGAGCAATCTGTGGAGCTGGAAGCTGAGAACTGGCGACTTTGTAGTACAACTTTAGTACGCGGAGCAATCTGTGGAGCTGGAAGCTGAGAACTGGCGACTTTGTATTACAACTTTAGTACGCGGAGTATCTGGGGAGCTGGAAGATGAGAACTGGCGACTTTGTAGTACAACTTTAGTACGCGGAGCAATCTGTGGAGCTGGAAGCTGAGAACTGGCAACTTTGTAGTACAACTTGAGTACGCGGAGTAACTGGGGAGCTGGAAGCTGAGAACTGGCGACTTTGTAGTACAACTTTAGTACGCGGAGTATCTGGGGAGCTGCAAGATGAGAACTGGCGACTTTGTAGTACAACTTTAGTGTGCGGAGCAATCTGTGGAGCTGGAAGCTGAGAACTGGCGACTTTGTAGTACAACTTGAGTACGCGCAGTATCTGGGGAGCTGGAAGATGAGAACTGGCGACTTTGTAGTACAACTTTAGTACGCGGAGCAGTCTGTGGAGCTGGAAGCTGAAAACTGGCAACTTTGTAGTACAACTTTAGTACGCGGAGTATCTGGGGAGCTGGAAGATGAGAACTGGCGACTTTGTAGTACAACTTTAGTACGCGGAGTATCTGGGGAGTTGGAAGCTGAGAATTGGTGACTTTGTAGTACAACTTTAGTGCGCGGATGAGTCATCTCTCGCGGCTGAGTCAGGTCTCCCGACCACCCGGCTCTCTTGAGAGGTTGACAAATTTTAGCTACTTTGCTTACTCATAAGTGGCTGCTACAAAAGAGTCATCGTGACGTTAGTATGTGTGTACTTCACCTTCATGACAAACGATGTTCGCTTGGAATACACAAGTCGCTTGCCATGATCGTGACGTCGTTTACTCTCAGGTCGCCCTGCTCGTGGAAACTTCCGTGTGAAATGTACGTTCTTCAGTTCTACTATTTGAACCTGTTCAGCGTTGTACTTACACAACTAAGGTTGAAGTTGCGCTGCCGTTGCATCGACGCATCTACGTCTACACCCCCTCACCTCTCTACATGTACATCTTCACACGCTCACATCCGCAGAACTACCTCTCCACCTCACCACACCCACACATCTGCACATCTATATCACATCTGTACATCCACACTGTCGCTCCTTCACATCTGTCCTGCCTTTCTTTCTTTCTTTCTGTCTTTCTTTCTTTCTAGATATCTTTTCTCTCGTCTCTGTGCATTTACATCTTCGCACGCTCACATCCACAGATCTCCAACTCCATACACCTACAGATCTATATCGCACCTGCACATCCACACTGTCACTCCTTCACATCCACCCTCTCTTTCTCTCTTTCTATACATCTTTTCGACAGTGCTGGACAATTACATGTCTCGCTCTCGGGCCAACCGTCGTCTAGTTTGTGGGACTCGCTGCGCCCGAGGAGTACGAGCCGCCCTTGAAGATCGTGGCCCTGGCGGAGGAGCCCTTCACCCAAGCGGCCAAGGCCGGGTCACGGAAGGTCACAGAGGTCTAGGAGCAAGAACGCTGCTAGGGGCTCCTGCCATCGCTACTAGGAGCAAGGATGCTACTAGGGGCTCCTGGCCTTACTACTAGGAGCAAAGACGCTACTAGAAGACGATGTGACGATGAGGCTTTTGAACGAAGAGACCAGACGGTTTTTGGGCGCACTGACTGGGGTCAGTGGAGGGCCGCTGCCCTGAGCACATAAGAATACAAGTATAATTACAAGAACATCCACCAGCAGGCCGGCGGATTCCCCTTCCGCACCAACCGAGCCGGGTGCGTCAAGCAGCTCCAGGCCCGCGCGATGCTGCCGCCCGGCGCGGCGCACGTCGTGGCCGCCGAGATGCACATCGAGCGGCTCGGGCGCAGCGGAGAGTTGGGCGGGAGCAAGGAAGTTCTTCGCTGAGACTCAAGTAGAGATGATGATTCGTGATCCCATTGATTAGCACTTGCAAAACAATGTCCATTTCAATCACTACTTTCAAAGTAGGAACGGGGGCTCCTGGCCGTACTACTAGGAGCAAGGACGCTCCGTGTTTTCCTTCGCCTTCCCAGGATTCGCTGGCTCGTTCGCGCCTTCGCGTTCGCGTTCGCGTTCGCACCGCTCCTTGGGAGCAGCGACATGGCGCCGCTGCAGTGGGCTGCTGTGATGGTCTGGTTTCCTCAGGCACAGACGGTCTCCGTGTGGAAGTGGTTGATGTGTAAAAGAAATCGCATCCTTGCTCCTAGTAGTAAGGCCAGGAGCCCCCGAACGTAGCGTCCCTAAGGACCTAATAGCGATGGCCTCCAACCTGTTTCCTCAGGCGCTTGGTCTCCGCGTGATCGTGGCAGGGCTCGGGCGGACGGGTACCATGAGCATGCTGACGGCCTTGCAAAGACTGGGTGACCGGTCTCTGTTTTCAGGCAAGATGTTCAAGGTTGGATCCATTTGTTCTAGTTCAAGCGAAATCAGATGCATCCTGCTTTGAAGATGGCATAGGTGCATGTGATATGTGCCCCTCCAGAAAAGATACGTTATGTGATATGTGCCTCCAATGTTCACAACCTCACGTATAGCTGACCAGCTCATCCAAGGTTACAAGCCTTACCATCTGAAGAGTGTGATGCTGAATCGCTCTCATGCCTCCGCCTGGCGTGCCGTGGCAGAACATCACATGGAGGCAGCAGAGGTCATTGAGATGATTCATCACGACGGCTTTGATGCCACCATGGACAACCCCATGTGTGAGCTTGTGGAGTGCCTGGGTGCGAAAGGAAAGACTAGTTCGCTTGGTTTGAAAGGAAAGCCAGATCGCCAAACCTACTGAGTAGTAGATCCCTCAAGGAGCGAAATCCATGAAATCCACCAAACCCCACAAATGATCACTAGACATAGGCCAGACTCCCAAAAATCATCAAGTCATAGGACAGACCTACTACGTGTCACCTTCATCCCAACGACCACCTCCAAGGGCTCCAAGGAGAGGTCCGACCGACGGCTGAGGTTGCAACTGCGGCTGTTCCCTGAAGCCAAGGTGATCCTCACCACTCATCCGCGAGGTGCCAAGGGCTGGGCCAAGAGCTTCATACAGTTGATGCAGGTGGTGCGACTGCAGGTGGCCAACTTTTCACTGAGACTTCACCTGATGTGTTTTTTCTACGATATACTACGCTATGGGATGGGGAGTGCAGGCTGAAGCAGCCATAACGGAACGTTCTGCCGTTGAAGAACTGCCGTTGAAGAACTGCCGTTGGGCCGGCCCCAAAGGTTCACTAAAGCTGGTTGAAACTGGCAGACATAGACCCTTCATTCGAAGAGGCACATGTCGTCTTAGGCCACCCATGCATAGTATCGTGCCTTTCTTGGAGCTGAGGACATATCCAAACATCCTCCAGTTCGTCCCGGTGCTGCGGGATTTAACGGCCATGCGATGCCTCATGGGCCAAGAAACCATGGGTTTGCGCCCCTGCGAGCTCATTTACGAAAGCATCGAGAAGCAGCAAGCGATGCCTGGATGGCTGGAAGAGCAATATGAGAAGCACAATGCGTACGTGCGGGCCAAAGTGCCTAAGGAGACTCGGCTACGGCTTAGGCGGTTTGCGCTTCGCATTTCGCGTGCTCCTTCGATAAGCATCGCGCTTTTTGGGTGAAGGCATCAGGCCCAAAACAAGTCCCATACCCTGTGGTTCTGCAACGATTTTTGGATCCCATGCTTTGGATATTTAGAGCCGGTATTTCCCCATGCTCTGAATCCTTACTGTTGGCCCCCATGTTTGGACTCCAGAGCCAAGGAGAAACTGCTTGAGTTTAGTGTGCAGGATGGCTGGGAACCGCTATGCCAGTTCTTGGGAGTTCCGGTGCCCAGCATGGCCTTCCCACACGTGAATGACAGCGCGTCCATGCAACGAGTGGGGCTGGTCCTGCAGGTGATTGTCTATGGCTGGGCCCCTGCAGTGCTGCTAGTGCTACTGATGATATGGTGGTGCTGCACTGGCAGGAAGTCCACAAGAGACAAGAAGGATTGAGGAAAAAGGCCCGTGATTGCTGCAGTTCAATTGTTTTTGGGCCATTCCCGTGGTTATGGGACAATTCCGCCACATACAGGGGTTGGGGTATTTCCACAGCCCAGGGGTTTCTGTGGCAGTAGTCAAGTGACCACCCTTTCCTCCAAGTAAAACAAACGGTGTTCTGCGAAAATGATGGACCAAGTCCTAAACAAAGGCACTTCTGCGAAACATTTGTTCGAGCAATGCCTATCAAGAATAACCAAATGGGGGATTTGCCACATGATACGACCAAGAAACATACTCCTTGAAATCAGATTCATGTAAATGGAGCAAAAGTTTGAAGCAGTTAAAGGCCTTTGACTTTCACGAAAGCGATCTCCGAAGGAGGTCAGCTGAAGTTTCAGTTTACGAATAGATGGGTCAAGATCGAAGGGATCAATTGAAAAATCACTACAAACGGCCCCCCCCCAAAGGGACACGACATCACAAACATCATGCCCAGGGGATTTTTAAGGTGTTCTCACATTCGTCGTTGTCATCGCTTTCGTTCCCGCCTCTCAAGTAACAGTTCATTGGTCCAAACCACCAACTTAAGGTACTTCGGCCCCAAAGAAACCAACCAAATCGGCCTGGTCTGGTGGACGTTTGGTCTTGGAACTCCCAGAACTTTGAGAAGGTGACCGATGGTGGTCTCGTCGGTGGTCTCCATCGAAGGAGATGGGTGAGGCTCTTTGCTTTTGGGAGCAAAAAATATAGACTATCCGACTTGGGCCGAGTTTTTTGGGAGGATGGACCAGGATGGATGGAAAGTCATCCCAGCTCAAACAGCCTCAAACTTTTAGGAGGGTATAAGGAACCTAGAGTTTTTGTGGTTGACCATCATGGCACATGATGCATTTACCACTTTGCATGCCATGCACACCCACTTCCTACACATCATGATGACTTGCAATTTGCCATCTTTTTGCAAGCGTGTGTGCTTGCCTTAGCACAGGAGCATCATGATGCCATCAAGTAGAGAATCCACATATTGGTTGGGGGCGTCCCTTTTTTGAGATGAACCTGGACTCTTATCATCTTGGCTCCACTGACACCCTCCAAGCACCGTGGACAACCGGCCCCCTCGTGCTCAGGTTCCTGCCTGCCGATGTGAACAAAGGTCGGACCGCGTTTGGGAAGTGCTTTTCGTTTGCCGGTTGGCGTGTGTGAGGGTGTTTGCTTCGCAAGTCTGGGGAAATGGTCACTTGTCATGTACCGAGGCAAAGGGATTTCAGGTTTAGGGTGCGTTGTAATTGACTGCTTGGGAGGCTTCCTGCAAACAGAAGCGGATGGATTTGTGGGGCATCTCCCTGCGTCTCCCTATAGTACAAATGACCATGTTCTGTTTTACATTCAGATATTGAACTCCTTGTGATCAAGAGGACCCAAATTTAAGCATGCGTCGGAATCCTAAAATGATGTCCCGTGCTCACCGGATGGGCTCATCGCTGCCGGACCGAGCTCCAGGCGACACCTTGCTGCGGCTGTGCAATGATCACCTCGGCATCCGCATGGCGTCTCGGGCAAACTGTCGAGAGGAACGAAGGATCGGGAACTGGAGGACCTTCAAAAGAGCTCTTCTGGCCGGTGTTCATTCATGTAGATCCGATCATAAGCATTCATATGTGTCATTCATATCATGCTCCGAACATGTCTTAGGCAATCGCTCCGCTCGGATATGTGTTAATCCTCTTGTGACTTAACTGTTCCATCTTACCTGTTGCAATGTTTGAATCGTTCCTCAAGACCACGCGCTCGGCCATCTGCACAACGGCCTACCGTCCAAAAAGAGACTCAGCGGCCTCGATCATTTGGCCGAAAGTCTAAGCCTTGTGCCGTTAATATGTGGTGTCCTTGTGTTTCTCAGGTCCAACGTCTTGACAAATAAGTTCCTTGGTGCATGGTGCATACCGTGAAGGATGTACACTCCAGAGAGTGCCCCTTGGTTCATGTGTTCCAAACTGATTCGGAGACTTCAGGGTCATCGCGTTCTCCCGGCGGGACGTCGTCACGTCGTCACGTCCACCTCAGAGCTCTGCGCCAGCTCCTGGCCCTCGCTGGGGTGAAGCAACATCGAGGATCATCCAACGCAGAGCAAACCGAGCGTCCGAGACTTCCTAAGTCTCCTTCAACATCCTTCAAGCAGTTACTAGGTTGGAGGCCATCGCTACTAGGAACAAGAAGCAACTAGTAACAAGGGCTTTGTGTTTCCTTTTTTCCTTTCCTAGCGTTGTGACGTCCTGTGATTCTGCCAGCTGCGCTGCGGCGCGTCTCTCAGAGTTCTGTCATCCTAAGGACGAGGTCATAGCCTTCGGGGACAACTACAACGACATGGAGATGTTCCTCGGGGTCTGAAGAAACAGAATCCATGTGAAGCTTGCTACTAGTAGTAATGCTCTTATTACTAGTAGCAAGCCATGTTGGGAAAGCTGCGGGAGATTGCAGATGTACAAGATATGGCAAAGTGTTCCTGCTAAATAGCAGGATGTGTAGGGAAAATGGCCCGCTGACATGTTGTCTACGTCTGCTCGAAGTGGTTACCTACTGTCACTACAAACAGATCTTGCAGCAAAATCCTAGTGGCTGTCCGCCCCTGTCCAAACTGCCCAACCGCAGTTTGACTGGACATGTCTCCCTGTTCACAGGGGGTGTAGCGCTACGTACGCCCCCGCGGCGAAGAGCCGCTGCCGACGCCGGGCCGGGCGCCTTTGGGCCTCGCTTCAGGTTGACCTTGGCCGGCGAAGGCGTGGCGATGAAGAACGCCAAGGACGAGCTCAAGGAGGCACGAACCGCACCAGGGCGCGCCCTGACTTGGAGGGTGTCAAGTCTCTTGGGGGTGTTTTTGTTGAGAGGTTTCTTGTTTTCAGACCCAAATAGATAGACAAGAACAAAGTTCCCACTAAAAAAGGTGTTAAAAACCATGCCAGGGTCATCTATTTGGGGACCACGAAATTAATGATTGAAGGTTCTGTTCTGGTTCTCAAGCTCTGAAACTGTCCACCAAACCCTGTTCAATTCGCACGGACAAACCCATAGTCCATGATGACGGCATGAATAGACATACGCTGCCGTGCTCGTGCTCCCCTTAGTTTGCCAAACAGGAGACCAAATCGCCGCCTGAGTTTTGTTCTTTGATTCTGGGGCTCAAGTTCAGAACTTCCCCATTCCCCCACGGTCGCCTTTTGCCTAAAGAGGCGCCCACAGGGTCGCCGCCACCCGTGAGTGCTTTTAGATACTTCTGGACCCCAGATGGCCTCTAACCTAATAGGTTTCTTGTTACTAGTAGCGATGCCCTTATTACTAGTAGGTCAGGCCAGGAGCTACGTTCGTAGCGTCCGATCGCTCCTAACAGCTCACTCTACACACGGCTCTGTCTCGCGTTTGTCCAGGCGGCCAACCGCGTCAGCGAGTGGAGCAACGATGAGGACGCCGTGGCCAGGCGTGGCGCATGGCGGGTGGATGACCCGAAAAGGGTCAAACACCCCAGTCGAACTCTGCTGGAGATTGACTGAGTGAAGTACTGAGTAAACATATGTGATTGTATAACCGACGGCTTCAAACACTTTTGAATGGGTTTGTGATTACCGGACTTCGAAAAGATTGACAAATACAAGTACGCTGCCGAATGGGTTAAAGAGCGAGTTCGATAAACTTGGACTGGTTTCAACATGCAGGTTTGAATGCACCTCTGGATGTTTTTGCGGGGAACGACCTAAGCATTGTTGAGCACTGCCCAAAAGACACGGGGTTGCAAGAATGTATTGGCCTTCGTTTTCCCATGTAGACATGGCAAATCAAATTCCCAGACCAACGGGAAAAGGCACTCAGAACCCATTTGCCACAAGGGTTTTGTCCATCACCAAGGCTCTCCCTCGTCTCCATGTGTTGGTGGAATACGCCTTCCTTTCGTTCAATTACTTTGCTTGCTGTATCCAACAGCATCCACCTCCCCAGTCAGAGCTGGATCCTTCACCTTTTGGTCGGCGCCCATGTGCACGGCGTCGCCAGGGAGTTGGAGCGATTGTTGGAGGAGTGAGGCGAGACGGAGACGGATGGGACTCCGGACGAACCAAATGGCAGCCCAAAACGAAGGACCAGTCAGGCTCTGAATGTCCAGTTTGGCACTGGAAAGAGCCAGTTGCTAGTTCCTTTTGAGATCTGAGAGAACCTTCATGAGTTCTTATCCGATTGATGGGCATCTGAAGAGTTTGACCCCAAGACTGGATGGGAAGTCCTGTGATTTGAACCAGATAGACGTATCTCTCACACTACTCTTTCTTATTCAATCTAGGTTGGAGGCCATCGCTCTTAGGTTGTTGGCCATTGCTACTGTTCTCTTCAGTTGCCTGAGGCCTCCGGGACGCACACGGCTTTGGTCCGCCCGCACTGAGAGCCGCTGCCGAGCCATGCCAACTGGGTGAGAAAGCCCACCAGTTTCTTCAGACCAAGCGCAGAGTGGAAAAGATCGCATTCAGTGGTCAATGCGATGGGAACTCCAAGATCAACGCCACCTCTGGAGTTCCCAGTAGTAACAAGTGCCACGCTACTAGAAACAGGTGCCTTACTAGTAGTAACAATGTTTGCTATTAGTCATTTGAATTAATAGCTTCTTGTTACTACTAGTAAGGCACCTGTTTCTAGTAGCGTGGCACTTGTTACTACTGGGAACTCCAGAGGTGGCGTTGACCTTGGTCCCAGCTCAGAGGATCTTCAAACCCGCGCAGCCAACGGACCCTCCGAACGAATCGATCTTCATGACCTCATCCACTCTTGTGAAGAAACCCGAAGAGTTGAACTCAAACTTCTGAAGAAATCAGACCTTTTACAAAAGGTGAAGTCGAATCCGACCTCCGGGTGCCCCCGAATCAGACCTCCGGTGGTTGAACTCGGATTGTCCAAACCTCGTGGGCGGTGAACCGCCCCGCCTTGCCGGTTCCCGCCACAAAAGGGAGAAGTGACCAGGATTCACCAACTGAATCTGACGTGAAATGCATCCGATGTTGTCCGAGCATCCAAAGAGTTTTTGTAATTAGTGATGTTGCCACGTGACTCTTCATGTCAAAGAAACCCACCCGATGCGGCACCTGCGGAGCTACTTGGTCATCCGCTGGATCCACGTGGCATTTTTCAGAAGGAGGAGGCAGGTTTGAAAGTCACACCTTTCACCACTGCAGTACCCTGTTAGGGGTATGGTAGAATATGTCGAATCAACAAATTGTCACATTTTCAGGAGGTGGCCAAATGGAGGATGTGAGAAAGCTTGATCAAGGCTTCATCACCACTTAGTCCCAAAACTTGTCCGCTGGAGGAAAGAAATCCATTCTTCGTTTTTTGTCCATCTCGGCCATCTCTCGGTTCCACCTTTGAAACACTCTTCGGGGATCTGACCAGCAATGGGGGACCCACTGTAGAGCCTCATGAGTGTTTTTCTGCACTTGCAAAGTTGGTGAATCAACTGAAACGAAGAGAAGAGATGGAAAAGGAAGCTTCTGTCTCGGTCCTCTCTTTCATCGGTCAATCTCCCGAAACAGATCGCTCAGTCGTTCTCTTCGTCCATCTCGTCGCCATGCTCGGCCAGGCCAACAAGAGCATCATGGCGCAGCTGCGAAGACGCTGCAGACGATGTGGCTGCAACGGAGACCATCGCAGAGACGATGTGGTAAAAAGAAGAAATGTCAATCTCTTGGGTCGACGAGTTCTCCCTCCAGACCTGGGATGGGAATGAAGCCATGTTCCCCTCGCCCCTTCTTTTTTGTTGTTTGGTTGTGTTTGACTGCGATATACTGGATCATTGATCATCTTCTGGATTTCCTGTCGAGCATATGCTGCCAAACGTGCTGGCTCCACCATGTCCTGAACGCATCGCTCGGCATCGGTCCGCTCGGGTTGCGTTCTTGGACGGGATGGGCAATCCACGGCACCCTTCGGTGTGGAAGGTGTGTAGGTGACCTCGTGGGGGACCTTAGTGTAGTAACGGTAGTGTTCCTTTCATGCAAAATGAGCGAAACCAAATCAGGTCATATGATCCATGAACCGTTCGCTCCATCGGATCCCTCATATCGTCCGATGTGTTTCTTGACGTTCGTGGACCCACCAGGCCGGCCCATCGCTCGTCTTGGGCAGATCGGTGCTGACACGTGGCTCGTCATGTCCACCAACAATATGGGCGTGTAACGCAACGAAGCGCAGATGGGATGTCCATTCTCTTGATTTCGGGAGGGTGACACCAGTGTCCCGGCTTTGTGACCGGCCGAACAAGCCTTGGAAGTGGTGAGCTTCGATGCTTCCATGCCTGTCGGATGTTTCTTTGGCTCAGACGAGCCAAAGGCGACATAAAACAAAACGGATATTAGACTTATCCTTGTTAGATGCTGAACTAGGCACAACACCCACCCACCCTAACCAACACTTGAAGCAAGAGCCAACAGCACTGTCTCCATTCAAAACAGCTGCTGCTCTAGGCGTCTTCTTCACACATGGTTCTTGTGCCACAGAGAAGGCATGTCTCTCCACCAAGACGTTTGACCAGTCCAAACCTCCCAAGCTGCGCACTGCTGAAACCCGACACGTACCGCCATCCCGTCGCCGTGTGGCCGAGTGCCATGGTCGGCCCAACGAGTTTGGCCGTAGGGGGCGAACCGTGAAGAGCGACATGGAAAGACATCAAGCAAGCATTGATCATCAAGAAGACTTGGTTGTTTGTCTATGCAAATAGGTTCTTGTTTGGCTACGTGATTTCCCCACCAAAGGCAAGAGCTCTTCGCGCATCCTTGAGCAACCTTAGAGTTCTGGCAGCCAAAGGCCTCCAGTGTATGTGAAGGGAGAAAGAAACCTAGTGAATGTCCCTGTGAACTCTTTGAGCAAAGACCGGAAAGCTGTGCCATGCCAGGCGGACACAGATGCTGCACCAGAGGTGTGGATTTTTTGCAACCGCACCATATAGAGCATTTTCTCGAACTTCCCGCTCCGAGGCCCCCAAAGCCGATGGAGATGGACCCGCTCCTGCTGCAGACGCCCCGGCCACCGCCACCGACGCCACCGCCCC